CTTGGGCATCTTGGAGGTGTTGAGAACCGCCTGGGTGGCGTTGGGGCGCCCATGGTGCCTCTAAAGGGTATTCTGCCCTGAGGAGTGGCGTGAGAAAGCTACAGAAACCCAGTCAGAAAGCAGCTGCAGCACACCGGCTTGCGACGTGTCAGATGGCACGGTGATGGATGTAGCAAGTACGATGAGAGCATACCCGACCAATGCGGACTTGATGACGAAGACGTCCCTGGCACTGTTGAACCTCACTGTATGCGAGCCCCACGTTGAAGAGCTGATTGACAAGGAGGAGGGGAGGAACGGTAGCATTCTCGCCTGCGTTTGGGATTTGGCAGAGGAGGAGTACGACGAGGAGGAGGAGGAGGAGGAGGAGGAGGAGGAGGAGGAGGAGGACGAGGACGAGGACGAGGACGAGGAGGAGGAGGAGGAGGAGGAAGAGGAGGAGGAGAGAGCGCAGCATCGGGGGCTGGACAAGCGGTGCCACTGCCGGGTTGCCACTCCCAGCTCAGAGCTGTTTTGTCAATCCACCCGCTCTGTGCGGCATGGGCTGAAGGCTCCCAGTCAGGGAGGAGAAGGGGGGTAGGGGAATTATGAGGAGAAGGAGATATAGTTTCAGACGCTTTTGCCAGCAGGGGCCTTCACGGCCTCTGGAGGCCTCTTGGAACCTCCATGGGACTTCAGAGGCTTCAGGGGACCTCTGGAGTGGAAGGAGGTGAGGCGGAGCTGGAGGAGGAGGAGGAGGAGGAGGAGGAGGAGGAGGAGAGGGGAAGGGTCGGATTCGGTTCAGGGTCCCTTGGACGGAGTCGGTTCAGGGTCCCACTGTCAGTGCCGACTTGTCTTCCTGGATCTCTCCTCTGTTCCTGCCCGTACTCTTGCCTTCCTTTCTTCCCGTCCTGCTCCTCGTCCTGCTCCTACCACTCCTCCGCCTCCCCTCCTCCGAAGCCCCGTTGGCTCAAGCCTGGCTCGATCAGACTAGCTGTCGGATGAGCCTCCCGATGCTCCAGCAGCTTGTCATATGGCATCGCGAGCAGCTGGCGCTTGCACTCCCCCGCTGCGATTGCTACTTGCCGTTGCTCCGTGACTCTCCATGCGTCACACACAACATGAGTGCAAAGTCGTTCTCGTCCGTCGCGATCCTTGGCGATCCAGCGGCTCTTCAGCCGCGTCGGCATCCACACCGACCTCGGGGGAGACGATCCCCAATTTCCTGCAACACCGCGGTTCCGATCTCTACGTCGTCGCCAGCGCCCGCCGTCTCAGGCTCCCGCCATCTCAACAGGAAGGACCCAGCCAATGCTTCCCTGAGAGGCGCGTCAATCCTTCGACTCCCACGTCGAGACAGCGTGGCGTACTCGCCGTCCCCGTTGTGACGACTGGCTTCCAGACCCCAGTGCCAAACCCACCACGGAGTCAGACAGAGGATGTTGCCGTCGCCCTGATGGCAACATCCGCTCGTGCGCGGAGGTGGAGAACATAGAACCGCAACGCGCCCTTTTCGTGAACGACCGTGGTGCAGCTGATCGCGAATATGCTGTAAGCACCCTGGGGAGGCCGTGGTGACATCGGCGCTGAAGCTTTGCCTGGACACAAAGTGTGAGACCCGCAATGCATGCAACCCCAGCTCATACACTAACTTCGTGCCCTCGTGCAGGTACACACACGCACACACTGCTTTGGAGTCGCGGCCACGCGCGCGGCAGCCTAGCGGAGTAGGGCTAAAGCCGAAAAAGGATCGCGGGCACAGGCCAGCTAAGGTGAAAACACACATATCTCCAAAGCCTTCAATTCACCTGAGCCAAGTAAATTTAACCCCGCGCGGTTAACAACGCGGCCACTGGCTCATGTTATGGTCAATGCAGCAGAGTGTGGCGTAGACTCCTCCTCGTCGGCAGGCGCTCCTCTGATGAGCCCCCCTTCCTCTCACCCTCCCTCCCTCCCTCCCTCCTCTTTCATCTCCCCTACCTCCCCTTCGCGGCCCCAGCTCCTCCTCCTCCTCCTCCTCCTCCTCCTCCTCCTCCTCCTCCTCCTCCTCCTCCTCCTCCTCCTCCCCCTGCTTCGCGTCCCGCGGACTCCGAACGATTTGCCTCATCAGGCTGGGTGCTGTTGGTGCGTTTGCGGTGGTATTCAAACATCCTCCTTTTCCTCCTGCATCTCTCTCTCCCTCTCTATCTGTCTCTCTCCTCCATGTCATCCCCCCAGGGCGCCGGAGGCCCGGCAATGTTGGGGCGCTGCGTTTCACGCAGGGCGTCGCGCGGTGATGACGGAGCTCGGGCTGCTGCCGTGCGGCCAGCGCTCTCCCGAAGAGCGCCCTCGACGCCGCCGCCCGCGTTCCTGCCGCCCTGGTGCGAGGGCTGGCGCCCTCAACTGCTGCTCCTCGTCCTCGCTCGGCGCTGTGCCGCCAGCTCATCTTTTTTGACGCTGCGCGAACTCGGGGACCGAGCCTGAAGCGTGCAGGCCAGCTCGTCCTCATCTCCTCCTCCTCCTCTTCCTCCTCCTCCTCCTCCTGTTCCTCCTCCCCCTCCTCCTCCTCCTGGCCGGTTGGGTCGCAGGGGCTCTCCGCGCTGCGCCTTGGCCCCTTCTCCTCTTGCTCTTCCTCCTCCTCCTCCTCCTCCTCCTCCTCCTCCTCCTGTTTGCCCTCGTTCCTTCTCCTCCGCTAGGCTCGCGCAGCTCGGGGGCATTGGCGTGGCGGCGGACGCGGGCCACGGCATCTTGGACGAGCAAGTGGCTATCGGCTGCAGGTGGTGCGCGGTTGCGGTTGCAAGAGTTCTCCTGAGAAGGCCGCCGCGTGGCAGGCTGTGCGGCCGCCTGAGAGCCGTGCTGCCCGCGATGGTTCCAGCCGATCTGGTGCTCTGTCGGCACCGTGCCGCCCGAAGTGGGCGAGCACCCGTCCGTGGTGCTGCATCGCACTCGCCCGCACGCGCACGGCAGACTGTGCGCGGTGACTGAAGGTCGGTCTTTCCTCGTCCACTGCTCTTGGCTGGCCGCCCCCTTCACTTGGTGAGCGCGCTCCTCCTTCTCCTCCTCTCTGTGCAAAGTTGTGTCTCCTTCGCTTGCTCTCTTCTCCCTCCTCTCTTCTCCCTCCTCCCTCATCTTTCCTACCTCCTCCCTTCTGGTCCCGCCTCCATCCTCCTTCTCTCCTCCCTCCTCCCTCCGCCCCGATCTCTTGAAGACAAATGTATTCTTCCTATGTCTTCAAGAAGAAGACATACCCACCAGCGTTGTGCCAGGTCATAGCGGACGGCATTATGGACGCTGTTAACCACATGTGCACGTCATGTGAAGCAGCGGAATGGCCAGAGGATATGAAAGAGGAGGAGCTGCTCCGTGGGTCGCTTCGGGCTTTCTATGTAGAATGGGACCCGTACTTCGGGCCAGACGAGACCTGGGCGCCAGATGTTGCTTCCTGCCCCCGTCCAGGACGGGTCCGTGCGGACCCCGAACGGCACAGGTGTTTGCCACCCTCGCCGTCAGAAACAGAAGTTGCGCATGAGCCAGGAACCGCTTTCGACCCTGAGGCGACTCCCAGGGACCCAGGCCCTATCGAGGCTGCCGACGAACAACAGCATGTTGAAGTTTTAGCCTTTGTCGAAGGCAACAGCGTGTCTGAGCCAGATGACACAAAGCCCTTCGTTTTCTGCCCTCCCTCCTCCGTTGTGCCTTCTCCCCCTCCACGGCCAGCAGAGCTCACATATGAGATTCGGCAGCGCGTTGCGGCCAATCGAGCGCAAGCCAAGGAGCGGCACAGGCTCCGCCGAGCCAAACACATAGCCCCTCGGACGTTGCAACCAGATGTCGGTGTTGGAATGTTCGACCAAGTGCGAGACTAGCCAGCTTTATGGGTCGGCAGTCGGGCAGGAGGTACGTCACGAGTTGGAGGGCAGGGCAGTTCAGCAACATATGCGTGCAGCAGCCAGCCTCACCCAGATCAGCGTCAGCTCGACGAGCCAGACACCTTTTTCATTTTCATGGCCTCAGGCCATGTGTTTAAGTTGTTCCCCAATTCTCGTTCCCGGTTTCCCCTCGCCCTGCCCCCCCTCTTCCAGAGGCGGGTGCGGAGAGGGCTGGGAGCGACCAGCGTGACGGCAGAACAGCAGCGTGCGCCCGCGCGCGGCCGCCGCCCCACACCGTCCACGACGGGCACCCTCGGGGGAGAGTCGAGCGGCCGCTGCCAACAGCCGAGCCACGGGGATACACAGGTCGCAACGTTTTGCTGTTCAGGTCAGAGCGCGATTTGCGTTTTCCCTCCCCCCCTATCGCCCGCCAGGTCTCCCGCGCCTCCGCCCGTTCGAGCGAGGAGCGGAGGAGCGGCTGCGGAGGAGCACGCGCGCGGGTGCTGCACGCGCTCCTCTTTCCCTTGTGTGTGTGTGTGTACCGTCTGCCTGAACTGCTCTGGCGATCCGGGCTGCGCCGCCGGCATCGGTCCAGGGCCGCCCCGCGCCTCTGCGCCGCTGCCGCTGACCTGACCACGGTTGAAAGTTTGACTTGTACTGTGCACTGGCTGTCCCCTAGCCTCATGTGCCCGTGCAGAGTGTTCGCCATGATCTCTGCCAGCTGCGCGCCAGTGCGTGCTGACAGGCTATATGCTTCAGCCGCGTCGCAATCCAAAATCCCGATCGCCAACGCGCCTCCCTCCCTCGTCCCTCCTCTGTTTCTCCCAGCCCTCACTCGGTTGGGTTCTCGTTTGAATAGAGCAGCGGGGTCTCCACCTCCTCCTCGTCCCCCCCCCCCCTCTCTCCTCTCGGCTCTCTCCTCCCGCATCCCCTTTGGGGGCCGCGAAGTGTGAAACTGTCGCTACGTTCGAAGGCTGCTGGGGGGCCAACACAGCGGGGCCACACGCAAATCAACACAGGACCTCGCCGTCCTGGGGGGGCTGCGAAGTGTGAAGCTGTCGCCGCTTTCGAGGGCTGCTGGGGGAGCCAGCGCAGTGGGGCCACACGCAGATCTGAACGGGACCTCGCCATCCCTGGGGGGGCTGCGAAGTGCGAAGCAGTCGCCATTTTCGAGGGCTGCCGGGTAGGGGGGGGGGGCGCAGCACAGTGGGGCCACGCGCACATCTAAACGGGACCTCGCCGTCCTTGGGGGGCTGCGAAGTGCGATGCTGCCGCCACTTTCGAGGGTTGATGGGGGGAGGCAGCACTGGGGCCACACGCAGATCCAAACGGGACCTCGCCATCCTTGGGGGGGCTGCGAAGTGTGCCAGTTTCGAGGGCTGCTGGTGGAGCCAACACAGTGGGGCCACACGCAGATCCAAACAGGACCTCGCCATCCTTGGGGGGCTGCGACATGTGATTCACATTTCGCAGCTCACCCCCCAAATATGGCGACAGTTTCAAGCTGTCGCCACTTTTGGAGGCTTGTGGGGGGGGGGCAGCACAGTTCGACCCCGATGTCTTCCTTTTTACGTCTCCTTCCCAGCGCAATGCCTCGTGGCCTTTTGCACCTCGGTTCTGCGAGATGGCCGCGCACACTGCGCACAAGATGCATATCCGCCGTGCGCCGTCTCTTGTAGTGTTGCTGTCGCGCTACTGTTGGCGCACCTTATCTCATCGCTTGGTGCCGATGGGTTGGGTACGTCGCAGGGTAATTTGCGTGGCCTCTGCGGGGGCAAAGCAATCTGCCGGGGGGGGCGCGGAGGCCATCCTCATCGTCTTGCCGGTCATGGACGCGCATCCGAAGGACGCCAACCTCCTCATCATGCTCTGCGGCGTGCTCGCCAACTTCTCCGTCATGATCGAGGTTCGAGAGGCAGGTTGGGAGGGGGTGCAAAGGGGAGAAGAAGTGATGATTGAGTGGAAGGGGAAACAATTGGAAGGATACGTGGCAGGGAGGGAGGGAGCGAGGGAGGCAGGGGGGGGAAGGAAGGAGAGATAATGAGGTATAGAAGGAGAGGGTGTGGTTGGAATGAATCGAGGGAAAGGATTGTTGGCATTTTCTGTCGAGCTGGTATTCGGAAGCTTCGGGTGCAGCGTTCTCTTTAGCATGGAGCCACGGCCTTTTGGGGAACGTTCAGAAGAGTCCGTGGAAGCTAAACCGCCTCGTTGGAGGGTAGCGGGGATGAGCTGCGGAGCACTTCCATCCACTCGAGCTGGCTCCCCCACTCACTCCATCTCCGGGAGGGGCCAGGCAGGAACCGCATGCCTGGGGCTCGTCCGAGTAGACAGGGATCTACGGTTAGGAGGGGCAGGTGGAATTTATTGGGTGCAAATATGGGCTGCAATCTGCTGGGTGCAATCTACGGGGCGCAATCCACTGCGCAACCCACCGCGCGACCCATTGCGCACCGTGCAACCCACAAGTAAGAGTTCATCATGTACGAACGCTGTTCGGAGGGACCTTAAGCTGTCAATTCGCAGAAGAGGGATAGACAGACTCCCCGCTCTCCTGGCCCCTTCCTCCCCCTGTTCCTTCGACCTCTGAGAGATGTAGCTGGCACCGAGGCCTGCAGACGGTAACCTTGAGGCCCAACCGCATGCATGAGAGGCCCTCGCAATCCAAGCCGACTCCCCCTCCGCTGTCCATTCCATTCCCCCGCCCATGCAGCCCCATGCCGCCCAATCCTTGCCACTCTTCCCTTGTACGGGGAGCCTTGGCGCTTCTCCCCCTTCCGCCGGCCGCTGCTCCCCCACCCCGGCGCCCCTAGTTGTTGGCGCTCGGCGGGGTCTTCGAGCGCATCGAGTCGGCGATGCGGGTTGAGCCAGACAACGCGGTCCTACAGGTTGCGTGCTTGAAGGCTGGCCGCTATCGGATCCTCAATCTTGCCGCGGGGGAGTTTTTCGCCGAGGGATGTGTCGGGCCTGGACGAGTGGAGCAGGTGAGTGCAGAGGCTGCGATGGGCAAGCAGCACGACTGCTCAGATGCGGTCTGGTGAGGGTGCGCACTGCAGCCCCTCTATGATATTCCATGTCTGTTTTTGCGTGGATGCCTGGACTTCTGGTGACCTTTCGGCGGACCGAGTTCCTTCCTGGACCTGGAGGAAGAATCCGTATTGTTTGTGCTGTTTCAGGACTTGATATGTGAACCAATGGTTTCGGATCTTTGTGATTGGCTCAAGGTGGGGCAGACTGCCGTGTCTCAGTATACACCGGCTAGAGGGAAGGAAGTGGACGGCTCTCAGAGCTGATGACTAGGGTGGCAGAAGCCAGGCCGGGAATGATAGCGCGTGGGTCACAGGGTGCAGGCGGCGCGTGACCATAAAGGGGGAAATTCATAAGAGGGACCAGTGGGTTGTGGAAATGAGAGGCGCTGAGTGATGACAACTGAACTGGATGAGGAGGCTGATCTAGGGAAGTTCTGATAACAGACAAGGAAGGGTGTCTGGGAGGGATGAGGAGTAAAGACCAAAGTGCTGCGCGACGCAGCCAGCCCAGGCGTTGGTGAATTACTCCACGAACACGGAACACTACATGAAGATGGAGGAGCTGGGGCTACCAAGGACCGCTTGATCAGCTCGGCATGTTTGGGATATGGCGTTTACCCTCCGCAGATCCCCGAAGCGCTTCTCAGCATTCGGGAACACCCTCGGCGCACCGTTATGCATCCAGTGGTTTGCCAGCTTCGGAGCGCAGAGCTGTCCGTCACAGACTCGTTCCTGCCCTCGCTGTCTATTCACAGCACCGCGCCACCAACTTAGGCCTCGCTGCGTTACTCGTGGCATCACCGCCGCATCACTGCTTCGTGCTGCACGACACCTGGCCGGCATCGGGCATTCCACGGAGGACAGGTAGGACTTGGTGCAGAGTGACATTCTGCAGCGAGCCCCTGAAGAGCCAGTAAAGTGGATATGTTTGATAACATATGAATAGGGAGGTTGAGGGTCTAATGTTTGCTTGCCTTCCTCGTGGTTCTTGTGTTCGCTCAATGTATTATAGACGCTTCGCGTAACCTCACCAGCCCATCCAGAAACGATTCCCAGGCGAGTTACCCTGAGCAGTCATATTGGGGAGCACGCAGTGGAATGAAGGCTGGGAAGCCGTCATACCCCAAGAGAGAGAGGATAGAGGAGGAACCGGGGGAGGAGGAGGAGGAGGAGGAGGAGGAGGAGGAGGAGGAGGAGGAGGATAAGTGCAAACCCAAGGCTCATCAACGATGTTGCAGTAAACCCTCCCTCTACGCTCTCTCTTCACAGGCCCCTATAAGGTGTTGATTTCCACTGGGGCTGGGGGAAAGTGCCCCGTTTGGAGGCAATCGCTTGAAGTTCCCGAAACGTGCCAAAACACCATTCACGGGACTCCAATGTCACGAATCAACCGGATTGTTGCGTCTTGACGATCCTGAATTGTGCCAGAAAGCCGCGCATCAATTTACCAGTTGCGCCCAGACAGTCATGAGTCGTTCTAAAACAACCAGCATTCATGGTGTTGCCAAGTGTTAATTCAGGACCATAATTGGTAAGGAAATCTCAATCAAACGAAACGTCTGGACCGCCCGACTGGCCTCGGGGTGCGACACGGAAGAGTTGTTCATAAGGAACCATGGAGGAGGAGCAGGAGGAGGAGGAGGAGGAGGAGGAGGAGGAGGAGGACGAGGGCGAGGACGAGGACGAGGACGAGGACGAGGGCGAGGACAAGGGGGGGAGGAGAAAGGGAGGGAGGGAGGGAGGAACGGAGGGAGGGAGGGAGGCAGGGAGGAAGGGAGGGAGGGAGAAGGATGATGATGAGGAGGAGGAGGAGGAGGAGGAGGGGGATGAGGAGGAAGGAGGGATAAGGACCGAGGGAGGATGAGGATCAGGCGGATGAGGAAGAGAATGAGGAGGAGGAAGAGGAGGAGGAGGAGGAGGAGGAGGAGGAGGAGGAGGAGGAGGGCGAACATGAAGGCCAGCGGCCTCTTGTATGCTTCTCGGAGCCTCGTCGGATGTCTCGAAAGCGTTTCGTAGGCCTGTTGAGCGTCTTGGACGCCTCGTGGCGGCCTCGAGGGCCTCGTAACGCGTCTTGGCTGCCTTGGGGGCGCCTCTTGGGGCCTCTCGGGGGTTTCTTGGGAGCCTCTTGGGGGCATCTTTGGGGCCTCTCGGGGCCCCCTGGGCTCCTCTTGGGGCCCTCTTGGAGCCCTCTTGGGAGCCTTGGGAGCCATCTTAGGGCCATCTTGGAGGAGATCGATCAAAGAGGGGGGGGGGGAACTTAATCAGCGTCGCCCCCCTGGGAGGCCCAAATGGGGCCCAAGCCGTAGGAAAATCAATGGCTTTGGCCTTCTCGCCGAGGCCATCTTAGACGCTCTTACACCCCTCGGGGCGTCACGTCCAGGTCCAAGTGGGAGATGGTGGGGGGAGTGGTCAAGACATCCTCCAGATATCAAGCCGTCTAGCTCACTCCCACTCCCAACACATAAGTAACACCCGAGTCTCAGCATGTTCAGCGGTCGTTTTTGGATGGACAGCTATTAGAACGAAAACCGAGCCCATGTGCGCGACGCTGGGGTGAGGTGCGCCACGCGTGCCAGGCGCGCCAGGCGCCCCTGGGGCCCGAGCGTGCTAGGCACACCTGGTGCGCCAGATGCGCCACGTGCCTCCGCGTGCGCCAGGTGTGCCGCATATTCCAGCCGCGCCAGGTGCGCCACGTACGGGGCATGTGCAGAGAGTGTCAGGTGCACCTGCGCACGTGACAGCACACATCGGGAAACATGCCGGCCTCCACCATCCTTGTCGAAAACCAGTGCCCATCATTGTGTTTGGTGGGCCTGCGCACAGTAGGCCATACATACGCCACCACCCCCGCCGTCCCTTCGAAAAGTCTCTTGGCAATGACCGCGGGGTGGCCGCGCATGATCCAGATTTAGCCGCGAGGTGCATTTTATATTGTCTGTTGAAAGGGATGGTGGCCCCGCGCACAGCAGGAAGTATGCTGACACTCCCCCCGTCCCTGTCACAAAAACACTACAAAGTGTTCGCGGTCCTCACGAACATGACTAAGACTGTGCCCCAAAGTGCACTTTGTATGTTTTTGTTGACAGGGATGGTGGGGGGGTGCCGCATCGGGTTGGTTGCGCATGCTCCGAATTTGGGGCCAGAGTGCGTTTTGAGTTGTTTTTTTGTTGAAAGGGATGGTGGAGGGGTGGGAGCATGGTTCCTGGTTGGCCGCTGGTCGCTTGGGGGAGGGGGTGTTGTTTAATAGGGAACAGAGATCAAGACATTCCTATATAGCAAGCCGTCTAGCTCACCCCCACCTGCCCTCACACCCGAGCCTCAGCATGTTCAGCGGTCGTCTTTGGATAGGCAGCTACTGGGAACGAAAACCGAGCCCATGTGCGCGACGCTGGGGTGAGGTGCGCCACGCGTGCCAGGCGCGCCACGCGCGCCAGGCACCCCTGGGGCCCCAGCGTGCCAGGCACACCTGGTGCGCCAGATGCACCACGTGCCTCCGCGTGCGCCAGGTGTGCCGCATATTCCAGCCGGGCCAGGTGCGCCAGTTTCGGGGCACGTGCAGAGTGTGTCAGGTGCGCCTGCGCACGTGACAGCTCACATCGGGAAACATGCCGGCCCCCACCATCCTTGTCGAACACCAGTGCCCACGCCTTGTGGGCCTGCGCACAGTAGGTCATACGCCACCGCCCCCGCCGTCCCTGTCAAAAACCACTTGACAGTGATCGCGGAGTGGCCGCGCATGATCCAGATTTGGCCGCAAGATGCATGTTGCATTGTTTTTTGACATGGATGGTGGCCCTGCGCACAGCAGGCAATAGGCTGACACCCCCAGCGTCCCTGTCAAAAATCACTACAAAGTGTTCGCGGGCCTCACGAACATGACTAAATACTGTGTCCCAAAGTGTATGTTGTATTGTTGTTGACGGGGATGGTTGGGGAGGCCCGCATTGGGTTGGTTGCGCGTGTTCAGAGTTTGGAGACAGAGTGCGTTTTGATTTTGTTTTGGCAGGGATGGCTGGGGTGTGTGAGCATAGGGTCGGCGTTTTTCCTGGTCGGCTGCGGGTCGCCTGGGGGCGGGGGTGTATACGTATGGGGAACGGGAACCGTGAGAAACCCCTCCCCGAAGGGGGAAGAAGGGTGGCTGGAACATGTTGGAACAGGGAGCGCCGTAGCTTGGACCTGTGGCCCGTGGCTCCTTGTGGCCCCTGTCTGTTCGGGCCATGCCAGCATATGATGGCTCCCCTCGCGGGCGGATCTGTGCCCTGGGGCCTGGGGCCCATCGCGGCCCTCGCCGATTGCATCTGCAGGAAGACGCAATGCTGATCCCCAGCCTTGGGTATCGTGCCCCGTTGCCCGTGGTGTCCCTGGTTGGCGAGGCTCCTTGTACCACCAGAAAGCTCCTCCTCCTCCTCCTCCTCCTCCTCCTCCTCCTCCTCCTCCTCCTCCTCCTCTCGATGCGCTGACGCAGCCGACCTGGACGAGAGCTGGATACACACGTGGCCAGAGGCCTTGCCAGCGCTCGGCCCACCTGTGGCTGGGGTACGCTGGGCTTCCGCGAGTGTCTCCAGCGAGTGGCCTCCGGATGATCTACATGTGAACTCAGCCAAGTGGGTTTCAGTTTCCCGGTATTGCCTGGTCTTGGCCTTTCAGTCACGCGTCCCGTGGCCTGGGTGGCCTTTGGCCCGTCGCGGCTCTCGCCGACCTGGTAGATTCACTGCGGCACGCGGTCAGCCCAATCATTGGATATGTCCAGCGCCATCGCCCCTGGGCTAGATTCCCGTAGCAGGCCGTTGTCTTCATTGATTCGTTTTGTTGTGCAGCAGGCATGGGGCTAGCAACA